GTGCTCAAACTCCTGACCTTCCTATTGGTACATCCTCCATACAGGCTCTTATCATGTGTTGTGCCCCCCCCCCCAGGTAAAATGTCAGGAAGTTGTCTTCCCCACACCCTCTGCTTCTTGCTTTCCTGCTTCCATGTGGACTACAGTTCTTCCAGGTAACATTCCCAAACTCCCTCATGCTGCCTGTGCCCTGTGCCCCATGCCAAGCCCCACCTCACCACTCTGTGCCCGGCAAGTCCACAGGTGCCATGCATCATACGGCAACTACCAACTCTCCCATTTGCGTGGCCACAGAGCTGAAACTCTGACAGGGACTCATCCGTCTTGTTCGCTATTGTGTCCTGACGTCTGGCAAACTGCCTACGCCTAACGGTGCTTTATAAATATTTAAAGAATGAACACATGAGTAATTTGACAGTAAGCAAACTGTAAAATATGTTTATAAACGCTTTGTAATACCGTCCTCAGTTCAGACTAAAACAGTATGAGAATAACATCTCAAGTATTTTTAATATGAGATAATTGCAAAGTCAATCAGAATAGACCCTCTCTTGATTTAAGCCAAGTTTTTTCCTACTGGTTTAATAGAGTTGGCTAAATAGAAAATCACATAAGTGCTTATTAATTATATGAATTAGCAAATGGTTGTATTAAATAAGAGCTATGTAGAACCTAGTTATAATCGGAAGTGTCAACATGCATGTAGTAAGCATGTGATAAGCGAGGAAGCTTCCCATAGAGGCAGTTTTTGTTGTAGTTAAACTCCAGTTACTTGTGGGGTCCCATGGTCAACATCCTGATGCAGCAGCAGCTTTGGGGATACGAATGGGGAAGAGGGGAATGATGTGTCTTGGAAAGATTTTTAATTGTCTACTATTTTTAAAAATATTTATTTCATTTTTATATTATGTGTATGAGTGTTTGCCTGCATGCATGTATGTGCACTGTGTGTTTGCAGTGCCTGCAGAGTCCAGGAGGGGGTGCCAGATCCTCTGAAGCTGAAGTTGTGGATGATCAAGTGGGTGCTGGGAACAAAACCTGGGTCCTCTGCAAGCGCAGCAAGTCCTTTTAACCACTGAGCCATCTCTCCAGTCCTACTCTCCCCCTCTTAACAGTACATAACTGAGAAGTGTTTGAGCTACCACAAATAGGAACAGTGTCCTTACTAAAGTCTAATGGTGGTGCTCCCAGATGAAGAAAGCCAGGTTTTCTGATGACTTCTTGGCAACCTATTTTAATGTACAAAGAACTCGATGTGCTCAACATGTTCTTAGAGCATTTGTTTTAATAGCCCTGGAGTTTCATATTTCAGCTCCGAGGTTACTTCCATAAGTAAAATTTCCCCAAATTTCTCAGAATCTGTAATGTCCTATTACATTTGGGAAGAGGCCTTGATGAATCTGGCAAACTCCTTCCAATCTTTAGAACTCAAACTGAGGACAGGTGTTATATCTGGTTTTCCTGAGTATTCCCAGGGTCTGGTAAACAGGTTCTTAACGGCAACTAAGTGCCAGGCAAATGCTCACTCTTCCCTTTCCTTTGTGTGTGCACATAGGTGTGTGCGTGCATGTGTGTGTGCATGCATGTGTGTGTGCATGTGTGTTTGAGATTGGGTTTCATTATGGAGCAATGACTAGCCTGGAACTCACTTATGTAGACCAGGTCGGCCTCCATAACTTGAGATTCTTCTGTCTCAGTCTTCTAAGCACCGGGACTACTGGCCAGAAGCCACTCCTCCTTAAGGGAAGCTGTAGAGTCTAGCAACTTCCTGCTTCCACCGGATGACTGTCAGAGTGGGTAGTCTAGCGTGGCTGGTCCTTCCAATAAAGTGACACCCAGTAGCTATACAGTCAGGGTGGGAAATGACCATCCCCAGTGAGGAAGCTAAGTCTGAGATTAACCTGGGTGTTTCTGGAGACTTCAATTTGATTTACCCAACCAGCGTGATGGTGTCTTCTGACCCAGCAATTATACTCAGTGGTATAAGAGAATCTGAGATGGCTCGTTTTGTCAATTTGATTTAACCTAGAATCAGCTGGGAAGGGATTCTCAATGAGGGACTAATCAGGTTGGCTCAGAAGCAAGCCTTTGGGGGAGCCACCCTCATTATCTTAATTAATGTGGGAAGACCCAGCCTCAAAATTTCCTGGGTTTGGATCCCGGACTGGATAAGTGTAGAGAGAAGGTGAGCACATGCCTGCATTCTCTCTCTGCTCTTGTCTGGGATGTGACCAGCCACTTCAAATTCCTGCCTTGACTTCTCTACACTGATGGACTGGTATGAGCCAAAGAAACCTTTATCTCTTCGTGTTAAAGCATTTCATCACAGTAGCAGAAAGGAAGCCATGACAGTGGCACCATTCACAGCAGCAAGAAAGTATAAGCAACACAAACCAGATGATTAACGGCCAGGCAGCATGTGGTATCTACATATGATATTTTATCACACAAATAAATGAGGTGTTGACCTGGGTTCTGACGTGGATAAATGCCCAAATAGTGCTATATGATGGAAATCACAGACTCTCATGTTTTATGATTCCTCCCTAAGCTGGGGATGCAGTGCAGCTGGCTGAGTAGATGCCTGTATGATTCTGTTGATATAAAATATCATTTATATGAAATATCATGGAGGTAGACAATACATTTTGGTTGCCAAGAATTTGGAAGAGTAGGTGTTGTGTGATGTTATTCCTGGGAGACCTGAGGAGACATCTACTTACCTCAGACAAGTACCTAACAACAGACCAAACTAAGAATGCCACTGAAGTCTATCTCGGTGAAGCATGAGTTTTATTGGATTACTTATAGAGGCAGACATGACTAAAGGCAGCTGCATGACCAAGGCCCACTGCAGCATGAGTGGCAACTCACAAAACTTGGACCTGGAATACACTGCACAGTCTGCCGGTAGCTTGTGTAGTCAGGGTGTCCTTTCCAGCCATCCCTGCTGGTCTGTGTCTGTTTCAGGCCACTCAGCATGTGACGGGTGAATCTGGTCAGTTTCAGGGACTTCCTGAGCTTAGTGAACTTCCTTGAGGATGGAAGGTTTTACTGCTCCCTAAAACATTCTGGGTGATAAGAAGGTTCCCTACAAGGTGAAGATTTACCTAAGAGGAAACTGCTATGCAATAGAAGGGTGTTGGGGTTTGAACACCTGGTCCATGGTGGGGCCATTTGGGAAGGTTGGAACCTTCAGGAGGTGGGGCCTTGCTGAAGGAAGTGGGCCACTGGGGGTAAGGTGGGGGGTGCACCTTGAGGCTTTCTAGCTGGACTCCATTTCCTGTTTGCACTGACACAATGTGAACAGCCGTCCCGCCACCCCGGAACTGAACCCCTTGAACTGTAAGCCCTCCCTTTCCTTAAATGGCTTCTCTTCCAAACAGTGTGGAAAGTGAAGGGCACGGGCAAGCAGAGCATCTGCTGCTGGCCCCGCGTGGGGTTCGGCTGTGAGGAAAATGTTCTAGAAGTAGGTGATACCCGTTTAGCCTTGTTAAGTTGTAGCCCTTAAACGGCAAAATCTGTGTTTTTTTATTCAGATGTAAAACACGTATCTCAATGCTTTAAACTTCGTGGGATGCACATACTGGCTCATTAGCATATGTCCCAGTTAACTTGTTATTCTTACTGTAACAGCAAAAATGCTGTACTTGTTAGTGAGGAGATCTGCTTACTGCTCTTCTTAGTGCAGAAAAGCTTGACGATACCTGCAAGAGGGCCAGTGAGCTGGTTCAGTGGGGAGAGGGGCTTGCAGCCAAGCCTGACAATGCAAGTTCAATTCCTGGAACCCACATAGTGGGAGGAGATAACTCAGTCTTGTAAGTTGTCCTCTGACATTCGCATGTGCTATGCACACCCCCCCATGCAAATAAATAAAAATGTAAAAAAAAAATCTTCAAGAAGCATTTCATTAACAATGAAGAAAACTCTGAAGCAGAGTTTCCATGAACCGTCGCCACGGTCCCTTTAAAAGCCTCTTTTCCTGTGTCTGTGAGTGAGCGCACACCACAATGGGCATGGAATGGTTGAAGGACAGTTCCAAGTTTCCCTCCCGCCCCCTTTGAGGCACCCCACTGCTGTTACCCCTGCATTCCATGGTGAGATGGGAGGTAGAGAGGGCAGAGTCACCCAGAATCCTTCAGGCCAGCTAACCTGGGCACAGCAGACCCTGCCTTAAACAAGGTGGCAGAGCACTGGCCTGGCATGGGTGAGCCTCCAGGTTCAATGACAAAGTAAACTGTACTGACCCAGCATGCATCTGGGTGGGAAGCACTGGTCTGTAACAGTCAAGAGACAAAAGGTCACTCTTGTCTACAAAGTAAAGGTGGCGATTTTTCTTTTTGCTTGAAAAGTTAATGAATTAGAAAAAGATACAATGAGTTGAAAATATTGAATTTATTTATGAACTACAAGAGAAAGGAATGCACCTGAATTCTCTGAAAAAAAAAAATCAACATAAAAACATTTGCTCCACATCCTGCCTCCCTCCTCTTCACCCTGACCCTGTGGCAGCAGAGAGACTTCCGGTTCCTGATCTGTGGGACCTCAGCTTGAAAGAGTATGCGCAGGCAGAGGTCTGTGAGCAGCCCTGGGGGTGGGGCACCCAGAGTTTCTCCGGGCTCCCTTGCTTACTCAAAAGCCCTCCGACAGCTATTTGCACTTTAAAGGCTCCCACAACTCTCTCTAAGGCTCACCCCTCTGGGGATAAGGTACTGAAATGCAAAAAAAAAAAAAAAAATGGGAGAAATACTCCCCAGTTTCAAAGCAACTACTATCTAAACCTGAAATCATCAAAAGTGACTTCTTTCTCTTGAAAAAGAAAAAAAAAAAAGTACAGCACCCAAATGACTTTGTCGGTTTGAAAGATGCGCTCATAAACTTGAAAATGAAAAATTAAGTCATTGCCTTTCTGTCCCCACAGCACTGGGGACCTCTGAAGTGTTGAACCTCCAGGTGTATGGGCAGCGGAACCACTGTGTTCCAGAAAAATGGCTATGCTCCTAGATAGGATCGGAGCTCCCCATGGAAGACTGGGGGTCCTGCAGAGTCTCGCTGGCTGCTTGGCTGCTGCCACTCAGGTTGCCTAGGTGACTGTTGATGACACCAAGTTCCTGGATCACTAGGCTCAGGTCCTCATGGAGTCTGAGCACAGCACCCCTCACCTCACCTAGAAGCCCATGGAGAGAGCTCGCCTCGGGGGATTCCCTGGGCAAGCCTTCCCTTGTCTGAAAACTAGCCTGGGACAGGCTAACTGAGGGGAAGCAGGTTCTAGCTGGGGAGGAAAATGCTACCTGATTACTGCTAGGAGTGTGAGCTGGCTTCTCCGTAGCTGGGTCGGAGTTATCTTGGCCACTGGGGTATTCTTCGTCCTCTGAAGATGCTGTACCCCTGGGAGCAAAGGGGTGGCGAACCCTGGCTGCCTCATCTTTGTATGTGAGGGGGGCAGACGATGACTGTGGCCGGGGCTGGATCAAGAAGGAAGGGCTGGTGAAAACCAGGGGAAAGTGATGGGCTGACTTCTCTGGCAGGGCCGAGTCAGGAGACGACACAGACAGAGCAGAAAAAGAAGATGTGACCTCAGAGGCAGTGGAAACTAAAATAGAAGGAAGAGAGAGATTTATATAACATACAAGCAAGAGTAATGGCTACCATAATTGTGTCATGTAAACACCTATCTGGAAGGTCTCAATATAAACCAGTCTGAATTTTAAAAGTTTAAAAATTCACAAACCTGAAAAAAACCAAAGCCGGAAACAGACAAATCTACAGATGTATTATATACCAATAATGCCGTGGAAATGAACCTAAAATAGAATGATCAATATTCACCATGACATCTAAACCCTACCCAGCATATTTTTACGCTACTGTAGGCCTCATCCCTGAGAGGAAGGTATTAAATCTTCTGCCTGCCGGGGTTTTATGTAGGCGTTTCAAGTAGGAAGGCCGAGAAAGTCCTAACTTAGTCTTTCACCTTTTCCCCCATACGGATATTATTATAACAGAATAAACTCCAGTGACTCCAGGATAATGAATCTTTTCCTCTCTGTGGTCAAACATAATTAAGACTAAGCCCGGCCCAGCTCAGATCCAGAGCACTGTAGCACGCGGACCCACTTTTCTTACCAAGGGTCTGTAAGCAGCATAAAAACGTACTTGAAATCCATTTCATAAAATTAAAGACTTGAGAACAATTTCATTTCCTTTCATGTAAAAGCATACTAAATGTCTCCTATCTATTCCATTCTAGTTCCCCAAACTATTATGAGTGTCTTCCTTAAGAGAACAGATGCCTTTCCTGGGTGGAAACGGAAGAGGAGGGCACTGGGGGTTGGAGGGGGGAATGGGGGAGAGGGTCTGGGAGGGGAAGATGGGGGGGGGTGGAGGCTGCAGCTAGGATGTAAAATAAATAGATGAGTAAAAATAAAATAAGACAAAAGATAGCAGATGGTGGGGCTGGAGAGATGGCTCAGAGGTTAAGAGCTCTTGCTGCTCTTGCAGAGGTGCTGGGTTCGGTTCCCAGCACCTACATGGCAGCTCACAGCCATTAGTAACTTTGGTTCTAAGGTATCTGACACTCTCTTCTGACCTCTGTGGACACCAGGCACGCATGGGGTGCACATACACATACATATATCGAGGCAACACACCTACACAAATAAAATAAATAAATCTTAAAAAAATAAAATGAAACAGCTGGTGTTTTGTAAAAACAGCTCTTGGGTCACTGCACACTGCCCCTCCCATTAGGACTGACTGCATCATCGCATTTAAAATGATGAGGGATCTACAGTACTTTCCTTTACAGGGTCTCATGAAGCCCAGGATGGCCCCAAACTCACTATGGAGCAGAGGATGACCTTGAACTCGTGATCCTCTTGCCTGTTTCCCAAGTGCTAGGGTCACAAATGTGTCACGACACTAGGTTCATGTGCTGGACCAAACCAAGAGCTTCATGAGTGCTCGGCGAGCCCTCTGCCCACTGAGCTAGACCCCCAGCCCTAAAGCATCTTATCTGACTGTTCCCCAAACTTCTTTGGACACAGGGCTTTTTTTTTTTCTCTTGGAATACCTATGTGGATTTATTTTTTTGATATACGGCATAAACTGGTAAAATCTATCCTTGGGTGTGTGTGATGCACTCTGAACTTGTTACTTTAAAGATTTACTCGGCCAGGCACACAGCAGGGAAGCTGAAGCCTGCCACTCAGCACTCGGGGACTTTGCTTTGTTGGTAGATTCTACTACATATTCATGTCCCTTCTGAACTAAACTGGAACTCATAAAAATGGTCAGGGCAGGTGGCCACTCTATTTTTTGCTCTAAGCTCTTCAGGACCTATCTACAGTTCTCAGGGAAGGGTCCAGTCACAAAACTTGTTTTTGGATGCCAAGAGTATTCTCAGCTGACGTGGCAACAGGGATGGAAGGAAAGGGGGACTCAGCTGCGCGTGGCCAAGGCCAGCCAAGCTCCCTGGGAGAATCTGGGTCAGGCTAATCCAGTCACTCTTTCATGGCGCTGGGAGGGTGGTGCCATGCTAGTGGGCACGTGGATGATGAAAGCCACGTGTTCACATGCTCCATGTTGCATCCCAACTGTCATCTGCTGCATCCTTCACCTCCTGGGCTGGCTCTCTGTTCTTCAGCCTCCATGTCCCCCTTTCTTGTTTTGCTGTCATTTGTGAGTAGTGCAATCACCAGTAGGCCAAGGACAAGGAGGCCCAAGAGGAGCTGGAATACGCATGTCTGAAACTGCTCTTTCTATCCTCAGGCTTAGAGATAGTTTCCATGAAGAATTCTAGGCAGAAAGACTTTTCCTTTGGACTTTGGAAAATATCTGAGAGTGTGTGCACAAACACACACGTAAGAGCATCATGCTGCAGGCGGAAGTCAGAGGACAATGTGGGACATTGGTTCTCACCTTTCCATCTTGTTTGAGGCAGATTCTCTTGTTCACAGCTGCACACATCAGGCTGGCTGTCCTGAGAGATTCTGGGATTCTCCTGTGTCTGTCCCCTATCTCTACCTAGGAGCATGAAGACTGCAATGCTCCCTGCCATGCATGACCTATGTGAGCTCTGTGGATCCAAACATAGGTTTCCAGGAGAGCATGACACTCTCTGGACCACTGACTCTTGAAGGCCATCTTCCACCACCTTCCTATTTCCAGTATTTTAAGTGCTAAGTCACAGCCATTCTACTTTTTTAAAAAAGATTTATTTACTTTCATTTTGGGTGTGCAGGTGGTTTACCTGTATGCAGGCCTATGTAACAGGTACATACCTGTTATCTGTGGAGCCCAGAAGAGAGCACTGATCCCTTGGAACTGGAGTTATGGATGGTTGTGACCACCATGTGGGTGCTGGGAATTAAGCCCAGGCCCCTGGGAAGAGCAGCCATTGCCCTTAACTGATGAGTCCCTCTCCAGACCTGCTGTTCTAACTCTTACTCATGGCACAGAGCCTGCTGCACCTCTGAGGTATTAGCAGTTTTCCTCTTCATCCCCAGTACTCTGGAATCCTCGATGCTGTTCGCTGAAGCGGGGCAATCTTCATTGACTGAGGTTTGAATCAGGGAACTCATTTCCTTCGGATTCAAATGTTTTCTCAAGGCTTCGATCAGGGAGCATATGGCTCATGGTGTCTCTGCTCTCTCTCTGAACTCCTAGTTTGCACGTAAGAGTGTCTGGGCTATCTTCCGACTCCTCGCTTTCTAATGTGTGCAATGTGTGTGTGCATGCACTCATGTGTGTAGGTGCACCTGCACGTGTGCCACAACAGTCATGTGGAGGTCAGAGGACACTCTTGGTCGTGGGTCCTCTCCTTCCACTGCGACACAGGGCCTCTTGCTGGCCACCGTGTTCAGCCTAGCTGGCCTGTGAGCTTGCCAGGGTGTCCCTTCTGCATCTCCCTCTCAATAGGACACACCAGGACCACAGATGTGGGCTACCACATCCCCGTTCTGGGGCCCGAGCTCCAGTCCTCAGGCTTGAGCAGCACTTTACTGAGCCTCTCTCCAGTCCTAATTTTCAAGTATGATTAGTGTGTGTGAGCGCAGCACAGCACACGTGTGGAGGTCAGAGGGCACTTGGCAGAATCGGTTCTCTCCTACTTTCACGTGGGTTCAGGGAATTGGCCTCTGGCTGTCAGGTTTGCTCGGTAAGCGTCTACCCGCTGAGCCACCTTACCAGCCCCCTTCCTACTTTCTCCTCCCCTTCTCTGACATTGTCTCTTTGCCCTACTTCTTGGAGGTTTCATCAGTCTTAGCTTGCAATCCTTCTGGTGAATTTCTTGTTTCTGCTGGCTGATTTTAATTTTGAAGAGGTTTTTTTGTTATTCTAAGAAATTCTCCAAACAGCCTGTTCTTGTTTTATAGACACGTCATATTTTCTTGTCTTTTGGAGAGTTTTTAAAGTGTTTTCTTCTCCTTTCACGGTGTAATGCCCTCCATTGTGTTCCCACACTGTTCCTTATGAGAGGCCCTTCCAGAAGGCTCCGGCTCCGTGTCTGTTTGTGGTTCAGAACAGAGGGTGAGAGCTGGCAGAAGCTTCGAACATGAGCACGAGGCGCCAACTCTGGGGCCCAGCGAAGAGTCGTCCGGGCAGGCTGTTTGAAGCTGCAGACGTCAGTGAAGCAGTTTCCTCCTTCTGAGGCAGGTTAGCATCTCAGCACCGTCTCCTGTTTGCTGCCTGGAGAGGAAAGGGTTGGCTACCAGCCTTCCTGCAGCCACCAGGGGAAGGGTGCCGGTAGGCTCTGTTCACTCACTCACTCCTGACAGCTGCTCTGGTTACAGTCCACACAAGCTGACCACTTTTTGGAGCTCTCATTTCAGAGACCCACCAAGTGCTCCTCCTGATTTCCAGGACCTCCCCCCACCCCCGGGAGTTATAGGGGTGGGTTATTCAAGGTAAACGGATCACTTCAAGGTGAAGTCCAAGGATAGAACTCATTTTTAATTTATTCTTTTTTTTAAATCTTATTTAATTTTATGTATGAGTGTTCTGCATGTACACCTGTGTGCTGGATGAGGGCATCAGATCAGTTGTAGATGGTCGTGAGCCACCATGTGGGTGCTGGGATTGAACTCAGGACCTCTGGAAGAGCAGCCAGTGCTCTTAACCACTGAGCCATCTCTCCAGCCCTTATTTTATTCTTTTATATGAAGATGGTAGTGGTGGTTTTTTTGTTTGTATTTTTCTTAGAAAGAATCTCTATGTATCCCTGGCTGTCCTGGAAATCATTATGCACATCAGACTGGCCTCAAACTCCCAGACGCCTACCTGCCGCTGTGCCCTGGGTGCTGGGACTATAGGACCCATTTTTAAATAGCTGCTTCCTGGTTCTCTTTAGCACGTGCCTTGGTTTACATGTGGTCTGCCCCCACATGTTCATGCTTCCCAATGTGGCCATGACGGGTGGTGGATGCTTTAAGGGCTTGGATCTGGTAGGAGGTCACCAGGTCATCGGGGATACTGCCCTTGGACAGGATTGTTGAATTTCTTACAGAACTCAGGTTAGTTCCTGTGAAAGTGACTTATTATAAAAACGCAAGCCTGACTCTCACATCCTTCTCTGACTTCTTATCATGTGACCTT